CCTCTTCTCTGTATATATATATATATATATATATACATATTTTGTACCTTTTTTCTTATTTTCTTATAGAGACAGAAAGCACGTGGATCGCCTTTTGCGGATATGGGCGGTAAGGCTGGCGGCAGGGGCGCGGGGCGGCGAGGGGGTCGGACGGGTCGGATGCCGGTGGGTGACCACCATGGCGACCACCCTCCCCCTGCGCACCCTTGCAGCGTTCCCCTGGCGATGTGGGATTTTGAGCAGTGCGATCCCAACGCCTGCTCTGGGCGAAAGCTCCACCGCTGTCGCGCACTTCGCCTGTTGGGGTTGGGGGAGCGTTTTAACGGGGTAGTGCTCACGCCGAGCGCGACGAGGCTGGTGAGCCCGGCGGATCGCGAGATCGTCCAGCAGTTCGGCGCGGCGGTGGTGGATTGCTCGTGGAAGGAGTTGGATGCGGTTCCTTGGTCAAAGATGCGAATGGGCGCGCCCCGGCTGCTTCCGCTGCTCATTTCTGCCAACCCGGTGAATTATGGGAGGCCGTCGAAGTTGAACTGCGCGGAGGCGCTCGCGGCGACGTTGGCGATCGTCGGTCTCGAGGACGACGCACGAAACGTTCTCGCGTACTTTAACTGGGGGGAAGGTTTTTTCGATCTCAACGCAGAGCTGCTTGATGGCTACCGCGCGTGCGCGAGCGAGGAGGAGATGCACGCGTTTCAGATGGAATATATTGAACGTGAGGCGCGTGATGGCGCGCAGCGCCGTGCGGTGGATCTCGATGGGATGGACTTGTTGGAGGCGCGCCCATTGAACGAGCGAAAGGGTCGTGGAAAGTCCAAACATGCTTGGAACGTAGAGAGTGAGGATGAGGAGTCCGACGAGGAGGAGTCTAACTCGCAGGCGGAAAAGTCTAATGATGTCGCGGATCAGAGAGAGGGAGAGGGAGAGGGAGAGGAAGAGGAGGAGGAGGAGGAGGGAGGGGGGAAAGTGTAGCGGAATAGCTACCTTGAATCTTAAAAAAAAAGCAGATACAATGCAAAAAATGCTGTTGCCTTGCTCTGGGATACACCACAAAAGAGCAAGTAGTCCTAGATGGATTTTAGGGTGGAGAAAGAAAAATGGAAAATGAGTGTGGTTGAAAGGAGGACTTACAAAAAGTCTTCGCTATAATAGGAACGAGAGATAATTGCACAGTGAAGTATAATATCTCAAATACTAAGGACATATCATGCAGGGCGGATAGCTTTGGCTTGCGAAGAGTTTAATGGTTCTCTTCGGTTTTCGCGTATTGTAGGCATCACTATTAGCACCATTATTGTTCGTTTGGCAAGCACTTTGGTTACTGGTGAACCAGAAAAGCCATTTTGATGCTTCACCTTTCTTATACTGCATCTATATTTTTGCATGAGTCTAGGCTTGCGCACATCATTAAAATCAATTAATGTGTACCTGACCAAACAGGCTGTACTTTCCGCATCCTTTCTTGCTCTTTCTCCTCTTGAAACGCTTAGTGAGGTGGGCATGCTTGAAAGAGTATCCCGAGTTTTTCCTCCTCGAGTTTCCTCACTACGGGTAATTTTACATCGTTTAAATTTAAGATATAAAAAGAAGCTACAAAGATCAACAAAAAAACTACTTGAGGTTTATTGCATTTGTTTTGCTGTTTCAACTTCATGGGTATTTCCTTTCCACAATTCATTCTTTTTTTTGCTCTTTCCCTATGCGTTTCTTTTTATTCCTTTGGTAACCTCTCCCTAACGAAAAAGGGCACTACATTACAGGTAATTCTTGTTAAGATATCTTTCTGTTAGGGTGAAGGTAACACACGACATGGCGAACTCACTGGCTTATTTAACAGCTCGTTTTTTTGGCACGGTCTTCGTGATCAGCTCCTTGACCGTGCAATGGATATTGGCGTGGCTTCTGCAGGTCCTCTTCATCATCCTTTCCTACCCTTTCCTTTCAAAAGATAAACGACAGAACGCTTGTGGTCACATCTTCCGCTTCGTCTCGTTTGTCGGAATGGACCTCCTTAACCCGTTCTGGCGGGTGCATGTGCTGAACAAGTTCCCGCCCACGAAGCACCGCCGCGTGTTGTTGATGATGAATCACTTGAGCGGTTCGGATCCGTTTCTTTCGATTCGCGCGATGCTGCCGCGGGATGGGACGTGGATCGCGAAGTCCGGGCTCTTTCGCGTGCCTTTTGGCGGCTGGTGCTTGGCAAACTCGGGTGATCTTGCCGTGCACTTTAAAAACAAACGCGCCGGGTTCGAGACGATCAAGGGCACCGTCGGGGTGATGATGGAGAACGCCGCTCGGAAGCTTCGCCAGGGCCGCATGATCTGCGTTTTCCCCGAGGGAACGCGGAATGGGAACCCCGATGGACCTATTTTGCCTTTCCGTAAGGGCTTTTTTGAGCTGGCAATTCAGGAGGACGCGATTATCGTGCCGATGGCGATTAGTGGAACGGATAAGATGTGGCCGGTTGGGTCCATTTTAATTGACAGCGCCGACGCGTACTTTTCCTTTGGGGAGCCCATCGAGGCGAGAAAATTTGACAACATGGATAGTTTGGCGGATCACGTCTGGAAAATTATGAACGACCTGCGCGAGAGTCATCCAGATCGTGTTGCGATGCGGCGGAAGGCTGAGTAAGGCTGCGAGGAGGTAGAAGGTGTGAATAGTGGGTACGAGGCTAATCTCAAATAAATTATTAAGGCTTTTAATGCAGCTTAATTATTTTTCTCTACATGCAAAATAAACTATGTATCCTGCAGATCTGATGAGTCTTTATCAAACTAAACAATCCCTAAATTTTCTTCCAATATGCTAATTGATTATTAATCATTAAACAGCATGTCTGATTTATTTATATTTATATAGGCTCCAGTGAAAGGAAAATCTTGGAAGAGTATTTTCATCTTTTGACGAGTTACTCTGTTATTCTTACATGATTAAGTGGGAGTCAACATTGGGTGGATGGGGTGAAATTGACCTAATTTTTTCGTTAAGAGGTGGTGGAACACTTAGTCTATTGATATTTTAAGAATTCGTTGGTTGCCGGTCGTAAAATTTCATTTTTTTACCCTTTTCTTTAAAGATGTTCACCAGGTATTTGTCCCTAATTGCAATTTATCTAATTCAATCCTCTTTATTGTTTATTCGTCTTGTTTTCCCCCTTTCTTTCATGTAAAGAATGGAGACGAAGTGTTTATATATGTACCAGAATAGTACCAGCTACAGTGAGATTCCAATTTTAGTTTATACAGTATTCCCCAAGCCACCTAGACGCTGGTCTCTTGTCGAGGGTGTGAACATCGAAGGACTCCATGAGAATCCTACCTTCTTGATTATCATGAACTTAGGGTAAACTATTTAAGTCAACGCGTTTGAGAGCCGTCAGCCGTCAGCTGGTCTCTTTGTCATCTAGCCCGTTCCGAAAGCCTCTAAGCTGTCGGAGGTCTTCGGTAGACCCACAACAAAGACCGCTGAATGAATTCTCCGAGTTACGCTACTCTTGAAGATCATAACATCGCATAAACAGGGAATTTTATTCTTGCCTCTCTACAGTCTTCCGTTGAGGTTCATCAACAGACGTGTGAATTGGCATTCACGGTTTCGGTTTCAATGGGCTTGATCATCCTGCGGGGGGGTGGTTAGACAGCTGATTACAAGGTTATCAATATAAAAGCACATACAACATGCGCACAGATAAATACCCCACAAAATGTATTCGGATAAGGGTTCAGTTTTCCCAAGAGAGATGATTCGTTTGAAATTTATAAAAAATGTTCCATTTTCATAGTTTTTTTAAAACCTCATTTGAGTTGCTTGGTACATTGTTCCTTATCGAACTTCATTTTTTTCCTAGATGCAGGTTCTACTTATATAATATACATCTGAATATATACTTAATGCTTTTTTTAAAAATCAAAATGCGAGTAGGTCTGCTGGTTTACATTAGTGTAAGGGATTCACGTGCATCCTATAGATAATTTTTCTGAAAGAAGGGCCTCAAAAGCGGTCCCTTGCAGCAATCTGTATCTCTTTTGCAATGCAAGCAGTAACAACGACATATCATAAGGCAGCGTAAATGGAATAGTTTATATGAGCATATTCCATTCCATGACTTTATGCTCGTGGAGACATGCCATTCTGTAAATAACTATATTCAATTCACCCTTGTGCACTACGGTTTTGAGAGGAAAGGAAGGGAAAAAACAACTCCTGAGCAAAACAATCACAACAAAAAAGGGAGCGTACAAAACACACACACACACACAAAATATCTATTTCTCTCTCTCTTTATATATACATTTGTTGATATTATTTCTAGCTCGATTGTTTGGATTCGATGCAGGGGGCGACGACGCTGATGACGGACTACTACACAGTCCTCGGCCTTAGCCGTCTCGCCGAGGAGGATGAGATCGCCAAGGCCTACCGCCGCTACGCGCTCGCGTATAACCCGCAATGCCATCCGCAGGATCCGGATTTGGAGACGCTCGCGAAGCGGTTTCGCGCTGTTTGTCAGGCCTACACCGTCCTCTCCAACCCCCGCGCCCGCGCCGTCTACGACCTTTACGGCGAGGAAGGGGTGAAACACGGGGGAACAGGAAATCAAGGGATCCCGGGCGGCATGGAGCTCGACGGGATCGACCCCCAGGTCGTCTTCAAGCGCTTTTTTGGCGTCGACAGCCCTTTTCAGGTCGTCGCGAACATCGACGGGGTGCAGAACAACCAACACGACTTCTTCAGCGAGGTCGCCGCGCAGCAGAAGGTCGCGCAGAAGTGCCCGCCAATGGAGGTGCGGTTACCGATCTCGCTGGAGGATGCCTTTTACGGGGCGATGCGAAAAGTGACGTGGACGGCCTCGCATTACGTCGCCGGGAGCGGGGAGGGGGGAGGGCGAAACGGCAGCGTTCAGCTCAGCACGGAATCCTTTGAGGTGCGCGTCGCGAAGGGCGCGAAAACCGGCGATCGATTCCATATTGACGGCCGCGGTAACACCTCACCAGGGTTCGCCCGTGGCGACGTCGTGGTGGTGTTGCAGTTGCAACCGCACGACCGCTTTCGACGGGAGGGGAACGATCTCGTCGTGACGGAGCCGATTTTCCTCAGCGACGCCCTCTGCGGGACGACGCTGACGGTGCGAACGATCGACGGGCGAGAACTGCGCGTGCTGATCGACGAGATCGTGCATCCGAAGTTTCGCACGCGTGTGGCGGGGGAGGGGATGCCGCGGGGGAGCGAGCCCTCCGCACCACGAGGCGATTTAGTGGTGGAGTGTGATACGAAGTTCCCTAGTTTTTTAACTCTAGAGCAGAAGATGGAGCTTCGGCGTATCCTGAATGCAAAGTAGGAGCGGTAGTATAAATATATATATATATATATATTCGCTATTTTTCGAGATCTTCTAAACACATGTAAACTATGATAGAGTCATTGGGAGAAAGTTGCGCAGATAGTTGTTCGTTATTTGTGCCCATTTGGTCATGTAATCATTATGGGGAGAAGATATGTATATCTATCTGTCTAGACCGGGAATTGAGTTTTTTTCATTCCCAGGAGCTTTGAATGATTTAGGGATCCAACTCGTTGGCATTTGATATTCTTTACTTTCTTACTCCTGGAAAACATTTATTTCGTTCTTTTTTAGAAGGTTAAAAGCGATAATTCGACGAACAAAGACGATACACCTATATCAAAAGTAAGTTTTTTTTCATATTTTCTAGTACGCATTGATTTCCTAACTGTTTAAAAAGAACAAACAAACAAATAAGCTGAAAAGCGTCTGCAGCTAATGTCATCAATTTTGGTTCAGGAAGGACTCGATAGTCATGACAACAACTATTTGGATGATTTCCCGCAAGATGGTGTGCCCGATGAAATGCAGATGTCTACAGAGTCGGAAAATATGAATAAAGTCGAGAAGAATGATAACGCTCACTCAATCGAGGAGGTCGGTGAGGCTAATGAGATCGTTTTTCTGAATCAATCTAATTCCTTGCCTGCGGATCCCGCACCCGATCAAGGGGAGGTAATGCAACCTGTTGCCTCCCAGGATGATGCAGAGAAGCCTCACGACAGCGATGAAGCCCCTCGGCAATATCCGCTCTCGCGGTCGAAGAAGCAAACCAACCTTGCGCCTCAAAAGACTACCTCAAAAGCGGTACGGCCTACTTCCACACAAAATACAGCAAAGAAGCCTGTCGCGAGCAAGGAAGCTTCTCATCCGCACCCGCTCGCGCGGTCGAAGAAGCAAACCAATCTCGCGCCTGGCAAGATTACCAAGAGCTAAGCGGCGGTAGCAAAAGGGAGAACGGATGATGAAATGCCAAATCAGCCGCCACGAACTCAACGCGATCTCAAAACGGCTTTTGAAGGGAGAAATAAGGCATTGTGTGGGAGGGGTAGTTTTTCCCACCGCAATGCGCATGACATCAAAAGCCTCTCATTATTCAGAAAGTTAAACATATGTGTAATATACAAAGTAATTTACGCGCGACCGGGTCGTTTTCGCTTTGCGGTTGAAGCTTCTTACGGATGCTTCCGCCGCGAGAGGGTCGACCCCGTCGTAGTGGGGCCTATTTTTATCAGGGATTGCATTCTTTCACACGACGCTGATCTAGTTGAAGGATGCGATGCAATCTTTGCTTTTTCTTTTTAAATTTTAGATCAAAAAGTTGATCTACGGCATATCCTGAAGACAAAATATTCACGGTATGTATATGTTACATGTGCGTATATTCTTTTTTTTCTTATTATTTTCCAAATACGATGTAAACTTAGTCAAAGTCAGCAAAAATGAGTTTCGCAGATAGTTATTCTTTATTTGTGGTTATTTATTTATGTAATCATTATGTCAAGAGCATCTGAATAAATATTTATATCTCAATTGTGGAGGTGCTTCTCCATTCTCGCGATTTTTCACTTATTAAAATAAAAGAGTTGACATTGATGTTCTTAATTTCCGTACTGCAAATCATCCGTATTGTGCTTGAAAGCAAAGTGAAAAACAGGAATTTGGGGTACAAGGACGATACATCTATAACAAGACAATTCCTTATTTTTAGTGTTTTCCAGTACGCACTGATTCACTAATTGCTTAAAAAGAAAAACAAACAAATAAACAAGCTGGAAAGTGGTTGGAAATAATGTCAGTCGTTATCGGTCATGAAGCCCTTGAGAACACTCATGATGACGACAACTATTCGGATGATTTTCTGCCAGATGAAGTGCCAGGTAAATCGAGCTCGTGTACGGAGTTACAAAACATGAATAAAGTCGAGAAGAATGATAACGTTCTCACATTTGAGGAGAGTAATGAGGGTAGTGAGCTTGATTTTCTGAATGAATCCGATTCCTTGCCTGCCGATCCCGCACCCGATCAAGCGAAAGAAAAATTTGAGTCCAATAGAAACTTATACCCACCTTGCTCGCCGACCCCTGACCAACAGCAGTTGCCTGTGAAGGCTGAGGAACATATAAAATCCCAAAGCCCTGACGATGCGCGCTCACCACTGAGTTCTCGCTCTTCTTCTCTCTCTTCTTCTTCTCTTTCTTCAGATTATGAGGTCAAAGTTCCGCCGGTTCCTTCTGCAGCGGAGGGCTTGAGTGCTAGCGGGAAAGCACTGGTCGGTGCGGCCGCTGTTGCCGCTGCCACAGAGAAGGACCATTTGCCGGCCGCGGAGCGAGCAATCGACGAGGATGAGAATAAATCGATAACGCCTCCCGCCACTCAATTCGCCGCGGAGGACTCTGTTCACCGGGAAGAATCCTCCCACCCGGGCCCCGTCGCGCGGCCGAAGAAATCAACGAACCTCACGCCCGCAAAGCGTAGGAAGCCGCCGATTGCAACCACGGAAGCGAGAGCAGATCGTGAGATGACGAATGAGCCGTTACTTTTGGATTCCCTGGTCGAGGCGCCCGCCGTACCACGAACCGAAAGCGATCTTCAACGGCTTTTGAAGGAGAATGAGGAGCTATGGGGGCAGTTTTACCAGCAGCAACGTTCCCGCCATCAAAAGTCCCCCAGCGCCCAACAATCTAAACAAATGAGCAAGAAAGAGAGCGTCTCGCATGCGGTTCGTGAGGCGGTTCTCATGGAGCGCGTGATTCAGATCCTGAAGTTGGAGCGGAAGGATCTCAAGGCTCGGCGCGACGGGCTCCGAACCCAAATCAAGGAGCAGAAATCCGCCCTTCGGTACCGAGATCTTGTCGAGGAGGCGAAGAAGGACATCATCCAGCTTAACGAGGAGCATCGTGATTTGTGCCTGGATATCCGATGCAATGAGAAGTTGCTCTTGATGAACGAGAAGCTCATCGACTCCGGGGAGAGCCTTCACCGACTCGAGGAGGAGATGCGCGCGGCGAACGTCATCTTGCAGCGCACCCACGACCACGTCCTCCGCGACGCCGACGAGGCGGAGAAGCAGCACCACAGCCTCGTCCAGCGGATCGCCGCGCTGGAGGCGCGGATCGACGCCTGCCGGGGCTCCGGCACGTCCCCGAACTACGAACAG